GGACTGCCAGGAAAACAAACAGATTCATCTTGGAGAGGATTAAACCAAGCTACTCCTTGGAGGCAAGGATTCTGGGGCTTCGTCTGACATACTTTGGACACGTTGCCAGGAGGGATGGGTCCTTGGAGAGGGACATCATGTTTGGGAGGGTGGAGGGAATGCGCAGGAGGGGAAGGCCCTCTATGAGATGAATTGATTCGGTGACTGAGGTAATCAGGATGGGTGTGTCAGAGGCAGTGTGGTTGGCGCAGGATAGCGAAGGCACATAACAACAACAACAACGTAACAAAACATCCTACCTAGGAGTGTATTCCAAATAAACAAGGTAAGTATAGATTTACTTGTGCTTTTTGCTAATCTGCAGTGCACAATTTCTCTTGTTGAGTATTTACTGGCTATTCTATTCCTGTCAGAAACTGTTAATGTGAAGTAGCTTTGTTTCTGTAGGATGGTGTCATGGGGTGTATTCGACTGTACAATTGGAAGCACTAGGTTTGTGGATGGTTGAGGTTGCCAGAAACGAAAAAGTGACTGGAGTTACTTCTGATCAGTAAAGCAGTCATGAAGCTTTGGGCTTACCAGCAGTGTAGTTAAAGTAGATTATAACTGTCAGATGAGGCTATGGGAAGAACCAGGAACTTACTTGGTATTTTCTTCACATATACATAAAATAGCTGCGTGCTATCTAGTTTTAACTTTCAAGTTGGGTTCATCAGGCATGGCTCTGGCCACACAACTAATCCTGTAATTCTTTTAATTTTGCATTGAGGGCACATAGCAACAAATCCCAATAGTGGCCTTTCCTTTTGCCTGCTTCTGTAGTACCACCTTGTATTGGAACTTCAATCATTTGTGATCTTGTGTTGTGCAGTCGGGTGGAAAGTATTCACAGTTTTCAGTGATTGCCCGGAAGTTGACGGTGGATTTCAACTGCTTGTTTTTGGGTTGGCAGCAACTCCTAACCAGTAGCCTGGACCTCGCAGATTATGATCTAGTGATGATTTTTTATTCAAAACTGAAACCCATAATCCTGCTAAACATCTTTGACACCAGTATTGTTGTTATCTTTATTCTGGAATGATGTGTCTGACTATATTAATAGGACTGTATTGTTATTTTAACCAAGTGCGTCCTTCTTCCATCCAGAAGAATATGGAGACATTTTCCAGTTATATATAAAAGCACAATTTTGGATGGGCTGAGTAGATGTGAAAATATTATAGATTAAGTGAATACAATCATACTGAGCCGGTATTTTAAGATTTCAGAAAACGCACCAAATTTCCTGTTCCATTCCACTTCTTCCTTAGTTACAATCTTAGCACTTTTGTGTTCCCATCATGTAATCGCTGCAATGAAAATGCCTATCGCTTCTCTATCTTTACAGGATGCTACTATTCTTCTCTATTTATTGCCACTCATTGTCGTAGAGCGGAGACGACTCAAAGCTGACGCTCCAGAGGGTTTTCCGAGGCTGTAAACGGCACCAGAAGAGACTGCCGGTCTCTGTCGCGGAGCCGCTGGTGGACTCCACTGCCTTTGGGTGAGAAGCACCAGCTTCCACGCACCAGGCCACTGGCATTTACACAGCCCACTCGCGGGCGCGCTCGCCAGGCCCGTTCCATCGCCCCTAGGGTGCTCTTTGCGGCTGTTCTGAGCGCTGCCTGTCCAAGCAGACAGCCCGCTCCCTACTCAAAGGGCGGGTGTAAGCTCCGGAAACCCTCTCAGGCCACGGGGTGGCGCCGCAGGCAGTACGACGGGCAGCCCGGCTTCCGGCGAGACGCGTGCCTCCGAGGACCCCAGCGTGGGCCATAGCGTAGGACTGGGAGGAAGCTGCGCAAGCTACTCTGTTGTTTCTGGGATTAACTGCTTTTTGTCACTGGACGCGTTTCTTTTGGTCGCCCTCTTTTCACCCACCGACTGTTGCGCCTCTAGCGTCATGTCCGTGAGCGAGATCTTTGTGGAGCTGCAGGGCTTCCTGGCTGCTGAGCAGGACATCCGAGAGGCGAGCCCCTCCCTTCCATTGCTTTTCTTTTCCTGCCGGGCTTGGCCACCCCACCCGGGCGCGGGTGGTGGGGACAGTTCCCAGGCCCGCTGCGTTGGTTTCGGGGTCTCCACACCCGAGGCACCCTGTGCTCCCGAGCCCCTTTGTCCGACTCTCTGCTCCTCAGCATCACTTGGCCTTATGTTTTCGTCCTTTCCAGCATTTGATTATGTCAAAGGCATGGTTAGCGCCAGAAATTGATCTTTAAATAGATTTAACGTATTTTTGGTCTTCTACGTATGACTCTTATTTAAGTCAATTATGTCGTGTGTCCCCCTCCACCCCCCCGAAATAAAAGTCCAGGCTGTGCTGTGGCCTATGAGATCCCTTTCTCAGCGGTCTTGTTTTACACTAATCCTTATTTGTTTGTTTGTTACGCATTTTAACCTTTTCTTTACAGCAGTTACTCAAATAGTTTCCTGCTCCAAGCATACACTGTTTGAATTTCTTGGAATACTCTGTCCACGCCTTTTTTAGTTAGCTCGTATTCATCTCATGCATAACTTTCTCGTTTTAAATTATGGCTTCTCTGGTAGCTTGTAGCATTTTCCGTATGTTCTCCTTTCTGTGGGTATGATTATACCCTCTATATATAGAGAACATGGACTGTTCGTTGATTCCCAGTGTTTATAGTGCTTAGCTCAGGTATGAGCCCTAGTGATTATTTGCAAAATGAATGCATGAAAAATACGTAACTCTTATGCACAAATAATAGTCACATACATCGTTATTTCTCAGTGTTTGTAGTGCCCTGTGGGGTAATAGGACCTGTGGTGGTGTAGTCAGTAGAAAATTGTGTTGATATCCCAAGGATGGCTTCTGTTTCTGGTGATTTGAATCTGCCAGTTGCTTTGCAGGGGAAAGATGGACAGTCTCTTTCCCTGCGGATTTACAGCCTGGGAAAAACTACTGTAGGGCCAAACTTTGCAGTTCCAATTCCATGACAGTGAGTTTGAGGTTGTTGTTTTTTTTTTTTGGTTTGTTTTAAAACTGTGGGGTAATTAGTAGGTAGGTGAGTGGTACTCTTTTTAACGTCATTCTCTTAGGCAATCTCTTAGATGGAGTAATGATAATCCAGATTCAAATATAAGTAGAAGATTAGTCCTTGTAAAGATCATTCATGTTTCCAGTGTATGTGGAGGTAGGGATAGGTCGAATATGTTATGATGTGCCTTTGTGTTGAATGCGACTCATAGAAACCGTATGAACAACATACTCAAGACCTGTCCTTTGCCATCCTCATCTTCAATATAGTTGAGCTCATTGCTGTAATCGTGGTGCTAATCCATCTTGTTGAGGAGGATCTTTCTTTGACTCTCCACTTTTCTAAGCACGCTGTCCTTCTCTAAAGCTCCTTCTAATAACATGCCCAAAATAATGTGAGAAAGATTTCAACTTCTTTGTTTCCAGAGAACACTCTGTTTTCACTTTTCCAAGACCTTTTTCTCTTGAAATTACATCGAACATTTAGTACTCTTCTCCAGCATAACTCAAAAGCTTCTACTCTTCTGTCATCTTTATTCACTGGCCAACTTTTACAGATGCATAGGAAGTAATTGAAAAGTCCATGGCTTGCATCAGATGCAACTTACTCTTTAAACTGACATCATTGCTCCTTAGCACTTTGGAGAGGCCTCTGAGAGCAGATTCTCATAGTGTGACATGTATTTTGATTTCTTGAGGTCAATTGTAATATATATTTAGCTTGAGGCTGTGATTATAATCTTGCTGAATTTATTTGATACTTAATTTTTAATTCTCCAGGAAATCCGAAAAGTTGTGCAGAGTTTAGAGCAAACGGCCCGAGAGATTTTAACTCTACTTCAAGGGGTTCATCAGGGTGCTGGTTTTCAGGACAGTAAGTTCTTTATTTTGATTTGTATCTAGTTTATAAATTCCTAGTTAGAAAATTTATATGGGGAAGATAAATCCTTTGTGTTATTTTATTGTGAAATAGGTCTACGGTGTTTTATGGTATAAGAATTGCAAGAAGTGGATTATCATTTTATATGTTTACAGTATTGTTAAGTTTTATTTTCCACTTCTGTTTAAGTGTGATTTTATTTTAAAAATTACTAATTTTCTTTTTTTTAAAGTGTGATGGAATTCTACTCATATTTGTTAAATAACTTGCAAATCTGGCAACTTTTATTTGGCTTAAATTTTTTTTTAAAAAAATAGTCATTTTTTCTGTGATTGAATATAGTGGTGTCACTTGAATAGAAATCAAGTATGTCAAGTTTGGGGTCTCTAGTGAGAATAGCTCAGGACAGGGCAGGGTTCAGAGCTGCTGTGCATAGGGTCGCTATGGGTCGCTGGCGACTAGACAGCACATAACAAGAACAAAAGTGGACTACTGGATAATGAGTTGGTGCTTCCAAGGACATGTGGTTTGAACCCACCACGTGCTCTGTAGGAGAAAGATGTGTAATCAACCTCTGAAATACTGCTAGAAGATTAGCTCTGAGTTGATTCTGTCTTGAAAGCAAAGAATTAGAGAGTTGAGGTATTTGTGTGTGTGTGATGTCAAGTTTAGAAACGGAACCTCTTTTTTGATGTAGCCAGCTAATACAATTGAATCATGTCTTTTAAATAGAGATTGACATAACTATGTGATTTATAAGTTTATATTCATAGATGAGATTTGCTTGTTAACTACCCTGGAGTCAGCCTGTCTGTGAAATATTGACCAGTCCTGAGGGATTTTTTTAATCATCCTACTCTGTAAAGTTTTTAGTGGAGCTATGCCATTTATCTGAATTACTGATACTTGTTTCTTTTAAAAAATACTTTTTTTTCGTTGCTGAACATTTTCTTCCCATTCCCCCAATCCACTCCACAATGTACCCAACTGATGTCATACATATAATGAATAAATAGTATATTCCTTTTGGACAGTTCTTTCCCTCATATGTTCTAATGCAGTGTTCATTATCTAGCCATTCTTTGCCATTCTCTCCCTAACCCCTCATGTCTGTCCTATTTTGTAATAACGGTGTTATGCAGTATTTGTCCTTCTGTGACTGAGATATTTCTGTTAGCACAGTGTCCTCCAGGCTCCCTCATGTTGGGTAATGTTTTACAAGTTCATTGTATTTCACTACTGCATAATATTCTGTTCTGTACCAAAGTTTTTTGCTTGTACCAGAGTTTGTTGATGGGCACTTAGGTTGCTTCATTCTCTTTGCTATTTGTGAATACAACGCAGCATTAAACATGGATGTACATACATCTGTTTGAGTCATGGCTCTGGTTTGTTTAGGGTATGTTTCCAGTAGAGGAATTTCTGGGTCTAATAGTATTTCTATTTTCAACTTTTTGAGAAAGGGCAAGATTGCCTTCCATAGTAACTGTGCCATTTTATATTCCCACTTGTGGTGAATGAATAAGAGTTTAATCTTTCCATAACTCGCCAGCATTAGTTGTTTGCTAGGCTGTTGAACTTTCTGTTTTTGCTGGGATGAGATGATATCTCATAGTTGTTTTGATTTGCAAATTTCTGGTAACTAGAGATTTTGAACATTTCTTCATGTGTTTGTTTGCCATCTGAAATGACGACTTTGGTGAAGTGTCTGTTCATATTCTGTGCCCATTTTGTGATAGAGTTGTTTACCTTTTTCTTGCTGAGGTGTATTCTGTAAATTTTAGATGTGAATCTCTTAAATACATCATTGCCAAGTATATTTTCCCAGTCTGTGGGTTTCCTCCGCTTACCTCGTTGAAGTTTCTTTGATGTGCATAGGGATTTGATTCTTAGAAAGTCCAGTTCATCTATTCTCTCCTGGTTTTAAGTTTTTCATTATGCTTGGAAGGCTCTTCATGCTGTGGATAAGGGCTTCTCAGGTTCTTCCTAGCTTTTCTCTCATGAATATATAGTTTTAGTTGTAGGTCCCTGATCGACTTTGAGTTGGTTTTTGTGTATGATATGAAATGTGGGTCTTGCTTAAATTGTCTGGAGATAGGTTTCCACTTTTGCCAACACCAATAGTTAAAGAGACTGTTCTTTTCCCACTTAATTGATTTTGTCGTCTTGTCAAAGATCAATTGACCAAAGGTAGATGAGCTGATTTTTGGGCTCTCTATTCTTTTGGTCTATGTGTCTATTGCTTTGCCAGTACCATGTTGTCTTGACCACCAGGGCTGTGTAGTAGGATTTGAGATCAGAGAGAGTGAATGCCTACTACCCTCTTGCTTTTTTCTGGTGTGTTTTGCTTATTCAAGGCCTCTTTCTATTCAGATAAAATTGGAAATAGCTTTTTCCATCTCTTAAAGAATGGAATGGTATTGGAATCGTATTGAATTTATAGATTGTCTCTGGTGGAATTATCATTTTTACGATACTTAGTCTTCCTATCCATGAGCATGGTGTATTCTTCCATTTCTCTAGTCTTGTGGTAATGTTTTGTAATTTTACTTGTCCAGATCTTTTATGTCTCTTTCTCAAATATTTCATCTTGTGATTAGCTATTGCAGTTGTTTTTCTTAGCTCTATTTCTATATTCTCTTTGACACTGTCGAGAAATCCAACTGATTTTTGTATGTTAATCTTGTACCCTGCTACTTTGCTGAATTAGTCAACTATGTTCAATAGTTTTCTCACTGAATATTTAGGGTTTTCTAAGTGTACTGTCATATTAGCTGCATTATAGAGATAAGTTTGCCACCTCTGCCAATTTGCATACCTCTTATTTCCTTGTCTTATTGATAGTCTTTTTGACCCACTTGTGGGAATTAGAAGCAACCTGATTTCTTGTTATCCTCTGAAAACAATGGCAGCTGTTACATAGCCCCAGGTGTTGAAGTTGTTTAAGACAACTTTCCAATGTCTTCCCTTAAGTATTCCCATCAGCATGTATTTGTTTATTTTTCAGTATTAGATAATTATTTGGGGTATAAGAGAAAATATTTTGAGATGCACAAGAAATACAGACATTTTGTAATGAAGTAAAAGAAGTGAAGTGCATTTGTTTCTAGATAGACTACATGGATTATTAAGCCAGACTTGTATTTGGTAGTTAATAAATCTTTCATTATTAATGTTTAATTTTTTTTTGCTGATCAGTTCCAAAGAGGTGCATAAAAGCTCGGGAACATTTTGCCACAGTGAAAACACATCTCACATCTCTGAAGACTAAATTCCCTGCTGAACAGTACTACAGGTGAGTAAAAAAAAGAACATTATATTTTTTAAAAAATAAAGCAGAAATGCTGCACCAAAACAAACTGCTTACAGCTAGGTACATATTTTCTATGTAGAAGAAACAGTAGGAAGTGGGCCAATACCTTAATGTTTATGTTTGTTGTTAGGTGCCCTACTCAGCAACCTTATTAACAACATATCTGAACTTTGCCCTATCTTGTCCCATTGTCATGATCTCTTGATCTGCTCAAGTATGTTGTTAAGGTCTTTGTATCAGTCCATCTTGTTGAAGTTTTTCCTCCTTCTCTTGCTGACCCTCCACCTTTCCCAGCATGATGTCTTTTTCCAATAACTTGTCCCTCTTGATGTCCAAAGGGTATGAGGTGAAGTTTCACTTTCTTTCCCTCTAAGGAGCTTCCCAGTTATACTTACTCCATGACAGGCTTATTCTATTGGTAGTCCATGGGAGACTCAGTACTCTTCAGCATCGCATTTCAAAGACATAGATTCTTTGCTGTCATCTTATTCATTATCCAGCTTCCAGATGCATAGCAATTAATTGAAAAGGCTTGGGTTAGGAACATCTTAGTCTTTAGACTAAAATTGTTGTTCTTTGGCGTTTTGATAAGGTTATTGACAGCAGATTTCCCCCAGTGCATCACTTTTTCTTTCCTGATGCTACCATGTGTGTTGATTGTGCATCCAAGCAAAATGAAATTGTTAACAACTTCAATCTTTTTTTCATTTGTCTTGATGCTGGTTGAGTCGCAAGTGATTCGACGGCACATAACAACAACAATCCATATTGAAGACTATAGTCTTTGATCTTCTCTACACTCTCCCAGCAAGCTTTTGTTACCTGCATAATGCATATTGTTGCTGAGGATTCTTCCAATCCTGATGCCACATTGTTCATATAGTACAGCTTCTTGAATTACATGCCTAGTGTACAGGTTGAAGGTATGAATGAAGGATACCATAAACCTTTTCTGATCTTAAACCATACAATGTTTTATTTCGGACAGTTGTTTCTTGATGTAAGTATAGGTTGGGGTGGGTTTGGTGTTGGTTTTTTTTTTGTTGTTTCTTTTTTATAATGAACGTTTACAGAGATTTTGGATTTCCATTCATTCATTGTTGCATTTTTCTCCCTGCCCATCCCTCCCCCCAGTTTGATCTTCTCTCTTTTTTTAAAATTTTGTTTTATTTTAATGAACATTTATGGATATCTTGGATTTCCATTCATTGTACTTTTTCCCTTGCCCAGCCCTTCCCCTGTCATTTTGCTCCTGTCTTTGAAAAGTAAAAGAAAAATTCTTTCTTTGGTATACAATCTCCCCTCTTCCCCCATGCATCCTTAATTCTGGACTCTTGTGATAACCATAATACCCTATCATAAATCGCTTTTAAACAGTTCTCGTCCTCATCATTTTCAGTGCAATATACATAATTTATCCACTCTTTCTCAGTCTCATCCCAACCCTGATGTCAGTCCCGTTCTACAACAGTGGCACTATACAGCAGTATTTGTCCTTTTGTGACTGAGATATTTCACTTAGCATAGTGTCCTCCGGGGTCACCCATTTTGAATAATATTGGATGAGTACCTTGTTTTTCAATGCAGCGTAGCGTTCCATTGTGCGGATATACCAGCGCTTCTCTATCCATTCATTTGTTGATGGGCACTTAGGTTGTTTCCAACTCTTTGCTTTTGTGAACAAAGCCACGATAAGCATGGGTGTGAATATATCTGCCTGAGTGGCAGTTTTGGTTTCTTTAGGGTATATTCCCAGTAATGGTATTGCTGGGTCACATGGTATTTCTATTTACAACTTTTTGAGAGAGGGCCATACTGCCTTCCATAATAGTTGCACCATTTTACACTGCCACTAATAGTGAATAAGGGTTCTAGTTTCTCCACAGCTTTGTCAACATTTGTTGTTTGCTGCTCTGTTAAATTTTGCTATTCTTACTGGGGTGAGATGTAGGTGTTTTGATGTAGGCATAGATTTTTTTTGAGCAAGATTTAGGATTCTGAGATTCCCATTCTTCTTAATGCTAGCCATAATTTATTATGATTCATAAAGTCAGTTGTCTTTGCAAAGTCAGCAAAACACAAGCAAATATCTTCATGGCATTCTCTGCTTTCCGCCATATGTAATAATTCATATCCCTCGTCTGAGATAGCAATGTGCCATGGCCTTGTCTGACTCCAGCTTAAATTTCTGGCAGCTCTCTCTCAGTGTACCATTCACCACTCGTTTTTGAATAATCTTCAACAAGATTTTACTTGCATGTGATATTAGTGATATTTGGTAATTTCTATATTCTGTAGGAATAAATATGAATCTCTTCCAGTCAGTTGGTCAGCTAGCTTTCTTCAAATTTCTTGGTATAGACTAGTGAAGGGCTGCATCTCTTTGTTGAAAGATAAATTCTTGGGTAATATTTTTGGCCAATTCCTTCAGTGAATCTTGACTTCTCTATCTTTCCATTGTTTCTTGCTGCTTTCTGAAATTGTTCAGTGTTGACCAATTCTTTTTGGTACATACCTCTGAACTTTTGAGGTTTCCTTCATCATCCAAAATTTTGCCCTTAGAAACCTTTAGTATTGCAAAGCTTGAATTGGTGCTTCTGTTCTTTGAACTTGAGAAATGTTGAGTGTATGTTCTCTTTTTGTTTTCTAACTGTAGTTCTTTGCACATTTTTTTTATAATATTTTGCTTTGTCTTCTTAGGTTGCCCTTTGAAATCTTCTGTTCATCTGTCTTCTGCTTTTCTTTTTTGTTTTGGCATCTTTAATTCTAGTTAAGTTTCAGTGTGTCTTCTTACATCCATTTTGATCTTTTCTTTCTCCTCTGTCTTTGTAATGATCTTTTTCTTTCTTCATGAATGTATCTTTGATTTCATCCCACATCTGGTCTTTGATCATAAGTGTTCAGTGTGTCAAATGTATTTTTGAGAAGATTTTTAAATTCATGTGGGATAGACTCAAGATCATATTCTTGTGTACTTGGGTTTTTAATAGTTTTCTTCAGCTTGAATTTGATCTTGCACATGAGTAACTGATGGTCTGTTCCAGTCAGCCCCTGGTCTTATTTTGGCCCCGGAAATTGAGCTTCTCCATAATATCTGTTCAACTGTAGCCAGTCTGATTCCTGTGTAGTCCCATCAGGTGAGGTCCATGTGTATAGCTGCCATTTATGTTTTTAAAAAAAGTAATTGCAGTGAATAAATCATTGGTGGTATAAGATGCCATCTTTTACTCTCTGGTGTAATTTTTTTCACCAAATCTGTGTTTTCCAAATACCACTTGAGTGGGTAGACTACTCTGTAAGGAGTTGACTTGCTAACCTGCACCTGTGACTTTCTAGTGATTAACTCCATGGGAGAAAGATGACTTGGCTACTCTCTTGTTATTTACAGCCTCAGAAACAATTCCCCCTTCCTTGCAATCAGTGAGAAAGTATTAATATGGTGATAAGTTAATGGGGTGTTTTTTTTTTCTTCTTTGCACTCCTAAAGCTTTATTAAGAAACATACTAATTTTTCATTGAGAGATAATTAAAAAGAAAATCTCTTTTGTGTGTGAGGGTTAAAATAGTTTTTGCTTTCAGTGATTGGTGAAGTTAGATGTGTTATTGCTGTGTTACTTAGCCAGTAGGATATGTGGCAGAACATATATACAGCCAGTTCTGCAGCAGTTTGAATTTTGCTTGCTTATTAAATGTTTACATATTTACTAAACTTTTCATCAATTGTTATTTTTATTTATAATCTTTACTTATAAATTATTAATAATGTATCATACTTTTTATTGATTAAATTTTAACCAGTATTATGAATTTGAACTTGTAAAGTTTATACAGAATTCATCTATTTGCAAGAGATTTCTGTTTGAAAAAAGTTTTCATTTCTGAAAGTTTGAAGGTGTCTATACTAAATATTCAGTTTTCTACATCTCCAAATCTTCATTTCCCCCTCCCCACACTTCCTTTAATGCAGATTCCATGAGCACTGGAGGTTTGTGCTGCAGCGCCTGGTGTTCTTGGCAGCATTTGTTGTGTATTTGGAGTCAGAAACACTGGTGACTCGGGAAGCAGTTACAGAAATTCTCGGCAGTAAGTTAGAAGAGTAGTATGATGAATTGTGTTTACACTCTACTGAGATTGTCCACTTGCCACATCTACTTAGTTCCTTTTTCACATTATTGTGCTTGAAAGTCATTTGACGATATTGTGATTTATCCCTTAAGTGCTTCAGCATACTTTTGAAAACCGTGACATTCTCTGTCATATTGTAGTAGTATTATGGTTGACATTCTTTTTAAGAGAAAGGAAAGGGGAAAAATGAATTTTGCATGAAGAGTTGTAGTTGCCAAGATTTTGAAAACTTGTGAGAAACTGGTATGAAATACTTCTATTTTCTTCATTTGCTTTGAAAAGGATTAAATATTTGTCAAGATTTAATATAAAGCACCAAGCCACCAGAGCTCTCATTTTTAAAAAAATTTTTTATTTTGTACCAATTTACATACAAAGTTCATAAAATTCGTATATATTGTTTCTCACACTGACACTTTCCCCTTTCGTTTATCCATCCCTCCCTCCACCCATCAAATTGTGTGACCTGGTGATTAAGACATCCACCCTTGGATCCTATACATTACTTGTCCTCATGAGACTGAGGTTTTGTTTTTTTTTTACTATTGAGTTTCAGCATTTATTAAAGACCTTTTATAAGCAGAGACCTTCAAAAATACTGAAATCATAGTTCTACAACAACAAACAAGTAAAGTTCATGATTTAAGGTATCACAAAAGGGCAAATCTTTTACTATGTAAATATTTTAAACTATTCTGGATTTTTCAAAGACAAATTAGTGCAAGGCATTTGACTATGTCAGTCATAACAAATTATAGATAATATTGCAAAGAATGGGATTCCAGAACATTTAATTATGCTGAAGTGGAACCTGTGCACGAACCGAGAAACAGTCATTCGAGCAGAACAAGAGGATACTGAATGTTTAAAATCAAGATAGATGTGCATCAGGGTTGTATCCATTCTCTATACCTATTCAGTCTGTATGCTGAACAAATATTTTGAGAAACTGGACTAAGAATACAACACCAAGATAAGAGAAAGACTCACTAACAACCAGTGATATGCAGATGGCATGGCCTCTCTTGTTAAAATAGAAAAAGGCTTGAAGCACTTGATGATGATGTTCAAAGACTACCGCCTTCAGTATGAATTATACCTTAACATAAAACAAAAATACTCATAAACTGACCAACAAATAACATTATGATAAATGTAGAAAAGACTGAAGTATGAGTTCACTTAGCATAATGCTCTTCAGTCCCTCCCATGTTAGGTAGTAATTGCCAAAATCATTGCTTCTGTGTACTGCATAGTAGTCCATTGTGTAAATGTACCATAATTTCTCAATCTGTTCCAAGATACAGATACTCTTCATTTTAAATCCCATGATGACCTTATCCTGGCTTTGCCCTGTTTTTCAGTTGAGCCAGATCGGGAGAAAGGATTTCATTTGGATGTAGAAGATTATCTTTCAGGAGTTCTAATTCTTGCTAGTGAACTGGTAAGTATCACAATAAATTTCCTTTGCTTTTTTTCTTTTCTTTTAAAAAAGAATTAACTCATTTTCCTGGCAATTTTTGAAATGAAATAAAAAATCCTGTGGTAAGGAATTGTACACCCAACCCAAAGGAACACAGTTCAGATCCACTAGCTACTCCTCAGAAGAAAGATGAATAATTTCCTTTTATGTGATTTACTGTTTCTGAAAACCCGCTGGAGTGTCAGCTATACATTATTTCTGCCTCGACGGCACACAACAACAAAGACAATAAATGAGGGGACATGGAATACATTTTCAGTACTAGCAGTGAAGAGTGTTTAAGGTCTTTCTTTTTTTTTTTCTATAATTTTATT